ATAATAATGATAATGGTAAAAAATGAAAAGAATTCAAGGTGCTGATTTGGAAATATTTTTTTTTTCATAAAAAAAAAAAATTATTAGGAACACAACGATCAAGCTAATAAAAATCTATTCACAAAAAAAAAAAAAATTATCTCGAGGCATGTGTTCAAGGGTTTGCGTGATTATGTTTAAGAAAAAAAAAAAAAAAAAAAAAAAAATAAATGATTTCGTTTGAAAACCACTTTTGTCCATGTCAGAAACGTTGAATGTAAAAAAAAAAAGAGAGAGAGAAAGAGAGACGGAAAGAGAAGAAAAAATCAGAAAGAGAGAGAGAGAGAGAGGACTATATTATTTTGTGTGCGCTTAAAAAGAAAATTACGTAATGGATGATCGGATTGATTTGATTCGGTTTTGAATTTTTTTTTTTTTTTTTTTTTTTTTGGCTTTGTAGATTTGGATAAAATTAATAAATTTTTATTTAAAAAGTTTTTTTTTGGGTTTTTAAAATCGTCATCGAATGCCATCTCGAATCTGGCAAGCAAATTGATGGCATAATGGCATCCTTCGAAAATGATGGCTTTATATTTTAGGTATGCATGCGTAAGTTTTTTTATATGTGCGCGTTAGAGAACGGTCGATAAACGAAAAAGGTCGTTTAAATTAGTCAGGTATGCGGTGTGGTAGTAGGTATCTCCGGTGGAATGTCGGCGAGTTAAGTCAGCATGCAAATCGTTGATGCCTGAAGAAAATACAATGTGTGAGAGAGTGAGAGAGAGAATACGGCGGGCGGATTTGGATTTAAGCGGATATTTTAAGTTTAGAAGGAGGAGGAGTAGGAGGAAAAGGAGGAGAAGTAGGAGGGAGGGAAGGAAAAAATTAAATTTTAATCGATTTTACTTAGAAATTTGTATTTTGTCGCGACCTTGTAAATCCGCGGGTTTTTCTTTTCTCGTTCGGTGAGAATGCGCGCGTTTGTGTTTAAAAGAATTGAATGAAAGAATGAAACGTCGTCAATGGTTAAAATGAAGAAGAAGAAGAGAGAGAATGAATTGCGATTCTGGAAAAAGGGAATGATGAATCGTGGAGCAGGTGTAACTAATATAACATTGCAAGGTAATCTCATGCTCGAACCCAACAAACGCAAAATGTACGAAGGGGGAGGGAGGGAGGGAGGGAAAACAAACAAACAAACAAGAGACATTATCTATGTTTACTTGTAATTGTATGGATTTTTTTTCCATCATCCATCCGACTACTACGGTTTCGGATTTTCAATTTTCCTCTCTCTCTCTCTCTCTCTCTCTTTCTTTTCTCTTCTTTCATCTTTCTCTCTCTCTCCCGTCTGGTTACACTTTTTTTTTTTTTTAACGACTCTTCATCCTCTTACGTTTCTCTGTCTTTTCATTTTCATCTTTGCCATTTTCTCTATCACGCACGCTATTCCGCTACGATTATTTCGAAAAGGATATTGATCTTTGATTGAAAAAAGAGAGAGAGAGAGGAGAGAGAGAGAAAGAAATCGTATGATACGAATTAGTTAACCCAGCTTAAAATTAGTTTTTTATTGTTTTCCCTCCTGGCTATTATATGAATTAATCTCATATATATATTTAAGCCCGTATAAATTACTAATTTTCTCCACTTTTCCCTTTTTTTTTTTTTTTTTTTTTTTCGAATAGGAATTTAAAAATACAATGCGAGAGAGAAGATGTTGTTTGTCGTTGTTGTTGTTGTTGTCGTTTCCGGTTACGTAAAACAACACATGGAATAATGGTTGCGATGATGTAGGAAAACGTCGCCCGTCGCGTCACGTCGCGTTTTAACAATTCTTGATTTCTCCGAATTTTTTTGTTTTAATCGAAGGGATCGATCCTATCCTCTCCTCCCCTCCCTTCCCCCCGGGGAAAACTCCCGACTATGTATTTCCTTTATTAAATAATTTTCCGACTACGTCGAGCCGGTCACACATTTCACCCCATCCCCCCAGCCCGCACGCATGCATGCATTACATTTAATAACGTAAAGTTGTACTTACGTACTTGGATAACGTGGCAGCAGTACGTTCGTGGTTCGTACGGAATGGTAGTCTGGAAAAAGAAGAAGAAAAAAAAATCGTTAATGGCGACATTTTGTTTTTTGTTTTTTTTGGCGTCTTTCGGGTTTTTTTAAAAAAATAATTTAAATTATGGACAAAAAAGAAAAAAAATGACTTTTCTCCTTCCACTTTTTTTTTTTTTGTTTTGTTTTGTTTTTCTCTTCACCTTGTAAATTTCATTGTAATGAATGATAGAAATTTAATTTGAGATAAACAAGATTTTTTTTTTTTTTTGTATTATTCGAAATCGGTTTTTTTTTTTTTTTCATAATAATAATACTTGCTCCTCATTTAATTATTATTATTATTTAAAAAAAAAAAGGGAAATTAGAAATTCTATAAAAATAATAATGATGATAATAATTTCACTTTCTTTTTTTTTTCGGAATCGAAATTTTTTTTTTTTTTTTTTTTCGTGTAATATTTTGAAAAATTAAAGGAGAGGGGGAGGAAAGGGGAGAGGGAGAAAGGAAATTGTTTTTCATTTTGTTAATTGAATCGCTTTGATTGATTGATTGATTGGCTGACTGATTGATTTTTAAACGAAAAAGTTGGTGCCTGTGTGGGTCTCGTCTTGAACGGAAAAGGTTTTTGAATTTGAGAATTCGGCGCCATTTTGTTTTTTTTTGTTCTTACCAAACGATAACAATGACAAAAAATAACTAATCGTCGATAAAATAACGGTTTTTCTCATTTGATTAGGTTTTAAAACAATGGCGTGTAATCGTTAAACTATAACGGAAATGTTTCTCTCTCTGTCCCCCCCCCTCTCTCTCTATTTTACGTAATCGTTGAGGTTAGTGGTAAAAGGTTTCTCGTTCCCCGTCTATCTCATCTTATTTATTGTCGTCGAATTTTAAAGGTATTCTAATTCCACGAGTAGTATCGAAAATGTTTTCCTTCTAATCGATCCATCGATGAAATTTCATCATTATCGAAGGCAACGAGTAAGATCCATTAATTAATTTTTTTTTTTTGTTTGCGCGAGTCCTTGTCAGAGTTTCTATTTTGTTTCCACCGAATTAAAAGTCTACCATCATTACGGTCAAGGCTGATTCTAGAATTCGAGTGTTATAATAATACGCGTCTCCCTAACATAACAATAGAGAGAGATAAAACGTCACAAAAGTATTAAATCATTATCGAAAGGTCTTGTCCTCCTCCGGGATTATCGCCATCTTTTTAAAAATCTCGCCATTTTATTTCGCGCCACAAAAAAAACTGGACACCATCTCTCTCTCTCTCTCCCACATCAATCCCCATCTCTCTCTCTCTCTCTCTCTCATTAAAATCTTTGTCGGGACTTCCGCGTAAGGCATTTCATTTCTTTTTTTTTTTTTTTCCCATCTCTTCCCTCTTCCCTTTTTCTTCCTCCCTCCCTCCCCCCTCTAATGTCGTTTGCGCATTACAATAATATGGGAGAGTTTTAAAGAATGGCAAATTGTTGTTTGGAAAGAATTATTTTAATATTAATGCGTTTAATTTCACTCTTTCGAAAACACGCACACGCACACACACACACGCACACAATGCGTATTTTATGCGTATTTTTCAGTCTCAACTTAATTTCCATTTAAATATTCCATCCAGGCAATAAAAAAAAAAAAAAAAAAAAAAAAAAAAAAAACACGAAAAACAAACGAAAAGGAAATGCTCATTATTATTATTATTATTATTATTATAATCCTGAAAAACGTTACGAAAATTTCTCATTCTCATAGTATTCAATTATCATTATCATTATTATTATTATTATTATTATTATTATTTTCTCGTTGTTGATATTCTTATTTATTTTGTCTTTAATTTTCTTTTCTTTTTTTGAATCGATTTAATTTCACAATCGTGGCTACTATCACCGCTACCGCTACCACCGCCACCCCCACTACTACCACCCCACGATGTAATTAATTATGTGAATTAAACATGCCGCGCACGCGCACGCACTCACACTTGGACATTGTATTAAACAATGATCGTTACGTCGAAGAAAGTTTTCTTTCTTTCTTTCTTTCTTTCTTTCATTTTCTACAATCTTGAAATTCATTAAAAAACGGGTTATTGTTATCAACAAGAGAAGGGAAAACTCTTGTGAAAATAATGATGATGTTAATAATAATAATAATAATAATTTTTGAAAAACGGCATTCGATGTCGATCGTACGAACGCGAACGACGAACGGGGAATAATGGCAAAAAAAAAAACAAAACGTGAAAATATTTTTGGCGCCAAAAATTAACGACCGCGAGGTGATTTGAAAAAAAAAAAAAAAAAAAAACTGACAGGAAAAATGACAGGAAAAGAAAAATTAAATAATAATAATAATAATAATAATAATAATAATAATAATAATCACAGTAAAAAATGTTTGTGCGTTTTATGTAAACAGCTCGGGGGTTACGGGCCGTGGAATAAGAAAAACGTCGTTTTAAGCGGGAAAAGTATTAAAATCGAAAGTAATTTTATATTAAAAAAATCACGTAACGAATATAACCGGAATGTTTTTTTTGGAAACGGGTAAGGAAACGTATACGATAAATAATAATAATAATAATAATAAATAAATAAAAGGGATTACGCGCGGATGTACCTACTACGTTACTACGCTCCCGATAATCCCCCAGGGGTATTAGATTGGGGTGGAAAACCTTTTTCCCTATCTCATCATCATCATTATTATTACTGTTTGGTTTTTTATTTTTGTCATGCTTGTGTTGTTCATTTAAATAATAATAATAATAATGATGATGATGATGATGATTTTTTATTTATTAATAACAATAGGGTATTCGAATCCTATCGTGTCAAGGTTGGTGGTTGTTGTTAAAACGGTTTTCGCATGGCAGGGAGAGAGAGGAAGAGAGAGAGAAAGAGAGAGAGAGAAAAGTTGGATTAATAAGTTTTTCTTTTTTTTTTATGACGTGCAGGCCGAGCGGTAGGTGTTTGGAACAGCCTTACATATCTTATCAGACGTCGACATCGACGCCGGTTAAACCTCAGCCCATAGAACACACGGTCACGTCGATAGCGACGCAGAGAACTCTCCTTTCCGCGAATCACTCGTCATCGTCTCCCAATCCCGTCACGTTCGCAGTCACGAATAATTTGCCGATATTTCAAACGAATAATAAATACATAGAAAAGGATAATTATCAAATCGAGAACAAGAGCAAGTTGAGTTTGCCGCCCGAGACGGAAAGGATAAGGATAAAATCTCCGGAGAAGAGTTTGTCGAACGACAAGTTGTGCGAGAAAAATGGTGCGAGACTCAGGTTGTCACAGGAGGAGGGTTTGTACGAGAGACGGAATCATAGGGTTCAACAAAACGAACGTTTGTGTTTGTCGTCGGAACGTTTGAATCATCATCATCATCAGCATTTCGGGGGAGACGGGCGCGAGGATAGGAAATATCATTCGATATTTCTCAACGAGACGACGCCGAAAAGTTTCATCGACTCGGATTTGATCGATTCGAAAGAGAAAAGTTCGAGTTCGAGCAATTTTAAAAACGATCACGTGAGAGAACGTTCGTTTCGATCACAGGAAAATTTAAATTTCAAACATCATCAGCAGCAGCAACAGTCGAAGAGTAAAAATTCACCGACGTTTCAAGAGCAAAAGGAAAAATTTTTACAAGAGATAAAAGACAAAACGAACGGAACGATAAACGAGACGAAACATTTTAAAAACGTTAAAAACGATTCCGACAAGTGCCAGAAGAGTCCCATATTGAGGGATATAAAAGACAAGAAAACCGGGAGCGTTCTACCCAAAAGAAATGTAAATAATTTTGCAGGAGGGAAAAACATACCGGAAAATTTCAGTCCGGGACCGCAATTGGTACCGGAAAGGGATTTGAATAATTCGGGACTTCCGCCTCATCAGAGTCTCATCGGAGACGTTGATTTTTTCGTAAGTTCCCAATGCGGAGGATCATCGGGTAACTTCAATGGGAAAATCGATGGTGGTGGTAATAGTGTCGTCGACGTGAAACGGGAAGAATATTTCAATACGTCGACGGGAGATTCGTCGACGGATTCGGTAAACGAATTAAACGACGACCGTACCGAAGATGGAAGTTTTCAACAGGACCTGAATTCTTCGCACAGGACCAGTAATGACGTCATGTGCAACGGAAGGTTGGATACGAAGCTTGAAAGTCAAAACAGGTGTCGAGTGGAATCGCAACACGAAAATAATTACGAAAACGTAGAAGTTCAATCGCCACCGAAATCCTCGCAAAACTACGAAAATGAAGTCCGGGAAAAAATGTTGTACCTTAAAAAGGATTCGAGCAAAAGAGAGGACGAGAGTTACAACGTCGTTTCGTCGAAGGATTCGGCCGTGGATTTGGTGAAACCGGACGAAAGCGTCATACTCGTTCCGTCGGATTTCGAAAACACGAATCAGAAAAATTTGATAGTGAAACCTCTGAGTACGAACGTCGCGAGAACGTTGAATTCGAACGGTGGTGCGAGACACTCGTCGAAAAACAGTTCGAAAAATTATTCCGCCGCGAGAACGACCGGAGGAGTAGGAGTAGGAGGAGGTGGAGAAGGAAGTTCGCCCGATAAGAGTTCGGTGGTTTATTGCGAGGGGAATTTTCAGGGGAAACAATCGGAAGGAAATCCTTTAATAAAAGACGGTGGTGGAAAACAACTCGTTGGAGCGATGGCTTCGAGTAACAAAAGCGGAGGTGGTGGTGGTGGTGGCAGCGGTGGCGGAGTCGTACCACAAATCAACAAACAGTTGAAAAGCATTTGCGGAAGTAAAGTCGTGTCATCATCCAGGCAAGGAAACGGAATGTCAAGCAGTGCAACTTCTTCTTCGGGGTCAAGAGGTCAAAGATTACCGCACAGGCATGTGAGCGAACAGGAATTGTTGTTACTGCAGGTGAGTCGAAGGACAAATTTTTTTCTTGTTTTTCTAAAATAAATTTCGACGATTACACAACGTTAAAACATAAAATTTAACAATTATTATTATTATTATTATTATTATTTATTTTGTCATATTGCAGAGACGACAAGACGCTGGAAGTTCAAGCGACGAAACTCGGTCATCGGGTCACGCGTCGATGTCGGACACGTTGAGCAGTTCGCCTGGTCTCACGGAGAGGCATCAACATTTCAGATCTCCATTGAATTCCGTGCCGGAGGATGACAAGTTGAGCGCTTGTTTGTCACCCATTCAAAGCCTACCCCAAAATCCATGTCAACCACCTCAAGGTCTAGCGAAAGCAAGAGGGAAAACTCAACAGAGCAGAAACAGACATCGAGCCACTCCCGCTAAGGCAAGTCACAGAATAAGTTTCTGGAAAGAAAAAAATCATTATTAGTATTATTATTATTATTATTATTATTATTATTATTATTATTATTATCGTTTTCAGTTGGTGCCATCCGGATCTGGTTTGGAGGATATTAAATTAGCGATTCAACAATTGACGTTAAAATCTGGTGGATATTCAACTTCGACGTATTCGAGTCAGTCGGGAAGCGAATCGAGCGAACCCGCCGTACGAAGGTTGATGAGACATTCCTCGCTGGAAACGATCAACACGAACGTGACGACTGCCGACGAATTCATGTGGGTGGATTCTCATAACAGGTACCTGTTTTTTCTTTTTTTTTTTTTCCATTTGATCACGTGATTCGATAAACATAACTCGATCGATATCGATTTCGATTTTGCAGACTCGTAGAAGTTCAGCAACTTCCTTGGTCGAATCATTGCGTGTACAGAGTCCTTGCGAGCGGGAGAACAAAAGATATTTGCCAAAGGGTTTCAATGGAAACGATACCTAGACTGTCATACCTTTTGCAACGTGCTCTAGTTCGTATAGCTAGAGAAGCTCAACGATTGTCAAAGAATTTGGGTTTTTGTTCGAAGCAAGAAATATTCAGCGCTTTAAGAATAACTCTTTGTCCGTCACTTTCGGATTCTTGCACGAAGGTGTGTGACAGTTGCACGTGCGGCGGTCGAATTGAAATTCTTTTCTTTTAATTACATACTTATTCAATTTAATCGTTGTAATTGAATTTCAGGCTTGTTTAAGATCCGCCGCCATGTTTGCCGTATCCGGAGATCAAATGAGACAGAGCAAATCCAACAGAGCCGGTTTACAACTTTCCGTGGGTCGTTTTCACAGGTGGATGGCGGATGTTAGAATAGCAAAGTTCATACACGAGTAAGTCATTTTAAAAATGGATAATTTATAATAAAATTTACATTATCGAAAAAAAAAAAAAAAAAAAAAAAATGGATGATTTAATTTGTTGCAGATACGCAGCCGTGTATTTCACGGCGGGTTTGGAAAATCTCCTCGAAGAACTCGTAATACAGTGCATGCCCAACGACAACGAAACCATGTTGACGTCGACGGTTTTGGAACACGCGATTGCCAACAATGGTGATTTATGGGGTCTCCTTCAGCCGTATGCTCATTTAAACGCAGGAAGAGTCGCTTCGGGTCAGTAGACCGATTTGCACGCGAATCTAATTGATATTCACCGTGCGTGCGTGCGTGCGTGCGTGCGTGCGTGCGTGTGTGTGCAAAACGATAAATGATGAATAAAAAAAATTTATTTCTCTCTCTCCGATAGGTGCTCTCGCCATGCCTCGTTGGGATTCCATGTCTTCCGTTAGCACGGATTCGACTCACACGTCTTCGAAAAATTCAAATAAATCCTTGCAACAGTCACTGGTTACCACGTGCGTCGGATCCACCGATCAACTCCGACAATTGGTCAACAAAATCACGGCTCTTCAACTTCACCGTCAGGTCATCAGTTGGAGTTCGACCGCCATAAACACTTTGTTTTATTTCATGAGGTGTTCTCAGGTAAGTCGCCCGACGTTTTCTCTCTCTCACTTCCTCTCTCTCTCTCTCTCTCTCTCGTCCTCTCTCTCTCTCGTCCTCTCTCTCTCTCTTCCTCTTCCTCTCTTCCTTTTCTTCTTCCTCTTCCTCTCTTCCTATTCTTCTTCCTCTCTCTCTCTTCCTCTTTCTCTTCTCTTCTTCTTCCTCTTCTTCCCCTTCCTCTACCCTCTTCCTCTCTTCCTCTTCTTCCTCTTCTTCTTCCTCTTCCTCTCTTCCTGATCCTCTCTTCCTCTTCATCTTCCTCTCTTCCTCTTCCCTCTTCCTCTCTCCTCAATTTTGATTCACTGAATTAACGTGGTTTCTCTTTTTCAGCTGGAACACGGAGATCACCAAATACAAGAATTAGTATACGAAAGAACCTACGTCGTTTTACCGCCTTTGGTGGAATGGGTGAGAGTGAGCAGTGCGCACGCCGAACACAGGCATTCGGCAGTCATAGATCAGGACGACGTCATGCAAGCTGCGAGGTTACTTTTACCCGGAGTCGATTGTCCCGTCAGACAATTGGGGTAAATATTTTTAGTTTTGTATTTTGCCGACACTGTTAAATTTCGACCGAGGAAGAATCATACGAGTACAAAAAAAATTGCTTACAGGCAAGAAGAAGGAGGCTACGAATCGGATAACGCGCGAAAAGTCAAAATCGAAGCAGCTTTTAAACTTTTAACGAGTGGAAGAGCCGAACTTATACCTCATGCGATTTCACTGTTACCAACTTCAAAGGTATTATTAATTAAATGTACCATTTGTCGATCCGTGCGTTGAACCGTTGAAAAAATTTTCTTTTTTCTTTTTTCCATCGGTAGATAAATTGCGTGAACGAATCCGGTTTGACGGCTTTGATGTTGAGTTGCTGTCGCGGTGACGTCGCAGCCGTCAAGTGCCTTTTGGATGCAGGAGCCGATCCGAATGTAGAAACTCCAGGATTGCCACACGTCGAAACGCAATATTGGACGGCTTTGTGTTACACAGCTTTGCAGGTACGATTTCATACGAGTCATCATATCGATCGTAAAAGTTACCATTAATACGACGGCACTTGTTTTTCCTTGCAGGGAAACGTAACTCTCGCGAGACTTTTGTTGGAGAGAGGTGCTCACGTCGAGGGTGGAGTCAAACCGTCCGAAGATAGATGCACTTTAACTCCTTTGCAGTTGGCAGCAGCGAGCAACAACACGGAAATGGTATCTCTTCTCTTGGCTCACGGAGGAAATGCGTGTCTTTCTACTTTGCACAAAGTAAATTTACTTTTTCCGTCGTTTCCGTTTCCGCTTGTTTCGATTTTAAAAAATTTTCTTTTTTTTTTTCCTCTTCTTAGGATTCCTTGTGTTATTCCGGTGCTGCTCAAAAAGGAAGTCCTTGTCCCATAGCCGTTGCAGCCGCACACGGTCAAAGAGCCACGCTTCACAAACTTCTCTCTCATCCCCTGTCGCCTCATTCAAAGGAAGTTCTTTCTTTGGAAGAAATTCTCGCGGAAGGATCGACTCAAGAAAGGCCCGCCGCGTCTCATAAAACTCAGGTAAAAAAAAAAGTCTGGAGTTGAAAAACGATCCCACGGGAACTCCGCGCGTCACTGCTAAAATGTCACGGATGTTGATGGAATCTTCTTTTCGTATCCTTTCAGATAAAAGCCTTGCAAGAAGCTATATATCACAGTTCGGAGAGTGGACACTTGGACATCACTTTAGATTTAAGACAACTCGGCGTGACGTGGACGCTACACTGCTGGATGACGAGTCTTTCAACGGCGACGGATTTACATTTGGATTCCGTCATGGATAATCTTCTACAAGATTTTCTATCCGCTTGGCCCGACGATTACTGTTCTCAATTCGTCGACGAATGTCTTCCGCTCTTGTTCAACATATTCCGATACACGAAGGTATGATCCGACGACGGCACCACACTCGCTCGGTCACTCGCGAAGAAGACTTGGAGACAATCTTTTTGTTGTTGCAGAAAGAGGGAACGACTCTTCTTTTGGCCGATATATTTTCAACGTGTTACGGATGGGAAGAAATGACGGCGATTGAAAGCGCGACGTCGACTCCGACGGCGAGAATCGATCCGAAATTCGTCAACAATCCAGAACTTTCCGACGTGCAATTTCGAGTCGAAGGAAAAGTACTTTACGCTCATAAAATTGTTTTGGTGACGTCGAGCCCGAGATTTAAAAACATGTTGAGTTCGAAACTGTGCGAAGGAAGTCCGCCGGTCGTTCAGATAAACGATATCCGTTACAACATATTCCAGGTAGGCCGTGGCTGTTGTTGCTGTTGCAAGAGGAGGTAAAAATGGTTTCCTTATTTTCACTCGTTTCCGTTTTCCAGTTGGTCATGCAATATTTGTACGAGGGAGGTACGGAAAGTTTGGTCGTTTCCGAATTCGACGTTTTGGAATTGATGGCGGCGGCAAATTTTTTTCAATTGGACGGTTTGTTGAAGTATACGGAAGCGAGAGCGGCTGCCATGGTCGATTTGGACAACATCGTTTCCATGTACATCCATGCGAAAGTGTACAACGCCGTACAACTTTTGGAACACTGTCAGGGTTTCCTCCTTCAAAACATGGTCGCTCTTCTCACTTACGACGATTCCGTGAAACGTCTCCTCTTCGGCAAGAAAATCCACAGTCACGACGTTTTGGGCGGTTTGATGTCGACTTTGCAAACGAGAATAAAGACGAGAAACAAGAGGCCGAAACCTATCGTGTAAAAAGAAAAAAAACACATTGTTGCCAATTTTACAAAAAAAAAAAAAAAAAAAAAAAAAAAAAGAAGATGGAAGAGAGTAACGACGGAAAAGCGGGTTTTTTTTTTATTCCTACAGGAATTTTTCTGTCGTTGTTGTTGTTGCGTCTTCCGAAATAAATTTTAAAAAATAACGGTAACCGGAAAATTTACGAATTTTGTTTGTTCGATCGCCGGTTGTTGCTGTTGTTGTTAACACGACAATAAAACTACCTCAAAATTACAAACGTCTTCCTCTCGTCCATTTTTTTTTTTTTTTTTCTTTCCATTTCCTTATTCGTGCCTTAACAGTATTCAGAATTCAAAGGTTCCCCCCCCCTCGTTGGGTTTTCTTTTCTTTTCCTTTTTTAATTATTATTATTATTATAATCTCAGCATTCCGTGTTAATATAAAATGAAAAAGAAAAACGTATACAGACTGCATTTCGTGCCTTTTCGCGCGCGCGCACACACACACAAACGTCCGAGATGAAATTTTTGTTCATTCCAGGGTTTACAAGTGCCTTAACGTAATAATAATAATAATAATTATAAATGATAATGATGATAATAATTTTTTTTTTTTTAACTTCGTCTTTCATTATTTATTCTGATTGTTGTTGATGATGATAATGATGAATTTTTCTATTTTTTTTTTTTTTTACTCCTCGCGTGTTTTATGTACATATAAATATATATATATATATAAATAAAATAAGAATGCTGACACGATTGATTGATTGATTGATTGATTCTGCAAATTTTTTTCCATTCCATTCCTTTCCTTTTTTTCCATTCCTTTGAATAATTATGACGACGGACGACGGACGATGACGCATCACTTTTTTCTTGATTATAAAAGATCACACGCGCACGCACTCGCGTATACATATGTATAAATAAATTTATTAATTTAAAATGTGTATTTATTATTATTATTATTATTATCATCATTATTATTATTGTTGTTTATACGTTAGTCGCGTGATGTTGATTTAAAAAAAAAAAAATTTATTATTATTATTATTATTATTAATTGAAATATTATTTTTATTATATTTATAATTTTTAAAAAATAAAATTTTCCCGCCTTTTTTTTTAAAAATCAAAATATCCTTTTCCTGTTTTTTTTTGGGTGGGAAAAAGGGGAAGGAAATGGTTTTTACAATGAGAGGAGAAGGGAAAATCGAAACGATGATTTCCGGTTCCTCCCACCGATGATGTTCCACGTTATTTAAATATTATTTATAAAAAAAAACAGCAACTTTTCCACTGTCACGTGACTTCGTTACTCGTGACGTCATCGTTGTGTTTTTTTTCCTTTGATTCTTTCTCTATCTCTCTCATCGTTTCTAACGATTATTAATTTTCCAACGGTTTTGTACGTTCTAAAATTCCAAAACGTTTCTTTCCTTTTTTTTCTCTCCATTTATAACTGTTACATTTGTCAAAGGAATGCCAAAGGAAAAAATTGTCACCCTTTTATTAAATAAGAACCAATTCAACATTTTCGAGGTATGTTAACCTTTTTTTTTTTGCCCCTTTACAAAATTCCTTTTCGTTTTGTTTCTCTCTCTCTCTCTCTTCCTCTTTTCCTCTCTTTCTTTCTCTCTTTCCTTCGTTTCTTCTTTCCTAATTTAACCGCAAATTTTGAAATTTTCCAAGTGTTTCTTAAGCATCATCATCATCATCATCATCATTCATTCATCATTTATTATTACATTTCTTTCGTTCAAGAGTTTTCACGTACGTCGGTTGGTTTGTTGGTTGGTTGTTCGGTTGTTTGGTAATTTTAAAGAAAAAATTTTCCAGGTCAGAGAAACTCTTGGAAATGAAATAATAATCATCTTCATTTCGTTCGCGTAACGTTCCACGAAGGAATGAGAGAGGAGGGGAGAAGGAGGGGAGTATGAAAAAAGAAAATTCAATTTTTAACTATGACAAACTTTTCTTTTTCCCTTTTTTTTTTTTTTTTCCACGAATGACCTTTGGAGAAGTCTTGGAGTGTATTCAAATGCCTGGAATGATTTTAAAATTGAAAACGCGATTCTCCCTCTCTCTCTTTCTCTGTATTCTTTTCTTTGTCGTTCCTTTTCTCTTTCTTCCTTTTTGTACTTTTTTCTTGCCATTTCTTCTCCCTCTCTTTCTCTCTCTTCTTAGTCATTCCTCGTGTTTCTCTCTCTGTCTTTGTATTTCTTTCTTGTTATTCCTTCTTTCTCTCTTTTTTCTTTGTATTTCTTTCTTGACCTTTTTTTCCTTTGTTATTCCTACTCCCTGTTTCTCTCTCTCCCTTTTCGTACTCCTTTCCTTGTCATTCTTTCTCTCTATCTCTTTGTATTTCTTCCTTTGCCATTCCTTCTCTCCTTCTTTTTGTGTTTCTTTTTGTGTCATTCCTTCTCTCTCTCTCTCTCTTTCTCTTTGTATTTTTTTTTTGTTTGTCATTCCTCTCTAAATATTCCACGAACCGTTTCCTATCAAATACAACATGATCGAAAACATTTTTTTTTATAACGAACATAATCGAGACTTCGACCACCGAGACTCTATCTGACTCATAGTCGTAAATAAAATTCAAAAAAAGGCGGGTGGGGGGGGAAACCGTAAAAGAGGAAAAAAACGTTTTTAAAAAAAAAAAAGTAAAACAACAACAAAAAAAAAGAAAATTTTTTTTTCTTTTCCACAACATTCGATTTCTTATTTCTAGTCCATAATGGAGTTGTAAACAAAAAAAAAAAAAAAAAAATTACTAGAATGAAAATTTAAACCCTTCGGGTTTCTTCCATATAATAAATTGGATATTCGGTCTTGCCCTTAACCCTTACCCCTCCCTCTACCTCCTCCCACTTCTCCCCCCCCATTTTCCTTTTATTATAAGAAATTACGCCATAGTTTTCACTTAACAATAATGATAATAAACGGGATATTTTCAAACCTCCAGGTTTTCCAATTTTTATTTTTATTTTATCTTATTCTTTCCCTTTTCCATCTCTCTTTCTCTCACTCGGTTTCTGTTTTTCTTTATTTCCCCCTTTCCTCTCTTAAATCATTGAGAAAAAAGAAAAAAAAAGTTTTTGTTGTTTCTTCGTCGTCTGCTTTTAAAAAAAAAACAAATTAACGGATCGATATCGATTTTTTTTACTCCCGCGAATACCTGAATCCCGCCCCCGCCCTCCCCGTTTCCGCCTTATTTTTCCCGCCTTTTTTTTTTTTTTTGGTAATTTTAAATTTAATTTTAATTTTCTCGGATACGAGGAGGAGGGGGAGGAGAAGGAGGAGGAGATTTTTGCGAATATATAGAATTTTCCTTTTAGTTAAATTCCAAGATGTTATTTATTGTCGCCGCAAAAAAGGTTAGCGGTGAGAAAAGACGAAGAATTGCGGTTTTCATTACGACAACCGGAAATGCTACATTGAAAAACCTTTGAAATACATTTAATAATAAGAATTTAAACGACAAAAAAAAAATTTCCCCCTCCCTCTCCCCTTCCCCCTCGTTTTCTCTATCTAATAAATTCTCTAAAAAATTTATTATACGGCGTTAAAAAAAAAAAAAAAACAATAACAATAATAATAATACTAATAAGGGTAGTGATCGAATTGGAAAAATGTCATCATCATCATCATCATCAAAAATTATTATTATTATTATTACTTTTTTACGTCAGACGACCGCAGAGTTACACGGAGTTGTGGTGGAAGGGTAAGGCGTCAAAGAGTGTCAAAAAAAAAGAGAGAGAGAGAAAGAAAATAAAAAAACCTTCCCTCCCTTTCCCCCCCCGGAAAAAAAACGAAACAAACAAACAAACGTGCAAACGATTCCACACACGTACGAATACTGTCAAAAATATTTAAAATAACGTTTAATTGAATTTTTTTTATCATTTGATTTATCTCCCATCGACCCAAAACCAATATTATTATTATTATTATTATTTGACTACAGGAAATCGTAAACTGGAATTTCGAATTATTATTATTATCATCATCATCATCATCATCAGTAGCGTTTTGCGTCCACCTAACCAATGATCAAATAAAATAAAAAAAAATAAAAGAAAAATGGCGCCAAAAATTTGAATTTTATATAAATATGTCGGGTGACGTCATCAGGTACAGGAAAATTTTAAATGTTTAAAAAAAAAACAGGAAAAGGTTGGTTCTTTTTTATCAAATCATCATCATCATCATCATCTTCTCTATCTCCAGCATCATCATCATCATCATCTTCTCTATCTCCAGCATCATCATCACCATCTTCTTCTCTATCTCCAGTATCATCATCATCATCATCATCATCTTTTCTATCTCCAGTATCATCATCATCATCTTTTCTATCTCCAGCATCATCATCATCTTCTCTATCTCCAGCATCATCATCATCATCATTATCATTATTATTATTATTATTTACGTTTCAATTTTGGTTCCACGACATGTTTCATGTTCTCCTTGTCCTTTTTCTCCAGATCTATTTGATTTCTAAGTGTTTCCAAGATTTTTCTTCTTCATAACCTTAACCACTATCCAGAAATCCCACATCAATGCCTGTAGGTACCCCCGAGTCCATCTCACTCAATGGGAAGGAAAAACTAAACCTTACTGTCAACAACATGTGTGGAGTAATCAGGTTTTGAAGGAGTCCCTCCAATTCAGGTTCACAAAACAAAACTTTATTCCGTTTCTTTCTTTTCCCTTGTTCTCTTTTCTGCTCTTACATACAATTAACGAATTTTCATGACTCCATATTACCATCCTTATTTAATATGAACAAACAATAGATCGAACAACCGACAATCATTCCGAACAAACGCGAAATCGTAATTTTTTAAACAAAAAAAAAAAAAAAAATTCGTTTGTCCCATTTTGAATTTAACGGTTTTTTAAACGATTAAGAAAAAATTTTCTTTTTTGTAAAATATATAAAATGATATTACTCACCTATTATAATCAAATGCTCTGTAGGATCTTCTAATAATGATTTCATGA